CCCCCTAGTCCGCCACTGCACGTCATAAAAGCAAAATATTATTAAACTCACCTCCAAAATACTGCAATTTATTTTCAGCTAAATACTGCTCAACTTTAGAAATATTCTTCAACAATTCTTGTTTTGTTTCCTCCGTCCTTCCTTTCAAATGCTTGTAATATGACGGAATGAACTGTAAAGTTAACAATATATTGGAGTTACCGTAATAAATTTTATACTGCATTTGTTGTACTGGACTGGAATATGTCAATTAGTGAATACCAAATATTAATACAATAATTAATACGGTTTACAATTATAGACACTTCCTGAAATTGTATGAGTACATATGCTTACAATAATCTGTGACGCAGAAGCCTTTACACTTTTTTGGTACAGTTACGCTAGCTAGCTCCTCTGCAGGCCGTGATTAATCTCCCAATCTCGGGTATGCCTGTACGCCCGCGGGTTAAAAACTGAAATATGAGACTTCAAAGGATTACGCCAGCCGATTAATGGCGATTATGCAGTTGTTAATATCGCTTACTTGGCAATCATAAAACATCTTCAGAACTATTATATGGTACATCGTAACTTAATCTCTGACAATCATGTATTACGAGTTATCTTGGCAGTTATGGCGGAGAACCAGCCTAGTCCCAGGCTCTAGCCCTAGAACCAGCCTAGTCTCTCTCTCTCTCTCTCTCTCTCTCTCTCTCTCTCTCTCTCTCTCTCTCTCTCTCTCTCTGTACGCTGCTTTGATTTAGTTAGTAAGTCTTAAAAGTTTTATGTCTGGTGTGCTGCGCGGAACGCTTCAACGCGAGAGCCTAGCAGATTTCAGTAAAAAGGTCCCTGATTTCAAAAAAGGGGTCCCTGGCCTGGTTACCAAGCACATTGCATTTGTAAATAGAAAATGTTATGGAAATTTCCTTTGCGTTTATAACTATTAAGTCATTAGTTTTGCTCTAATGCTATCGGAACAATGAAATAGGCTAGTGAGTACGTTTCGCTACCATACGGTCAGAATAGACTAACGGGCTAAATATGACTCGTGTTTACTAAAATATAAAGCTACTAAATGCTATCTGGAAGCTTGAAAATTATCCCGAGTCTCCGACTAAAAATGTTTTGACAACACAGTAATGTCAGGCAAATATATTTCCAATCTCCTCGGCTACTTAAACCTGTCAAGAAGAAAGCGTAGTTGTGTATGGTCTAGTGTAGATCACAAGCGAGTATATAAATAACATCAACGATTATACGACAAAACTGTTTTGAACATTTTACCATTGCTCAGACTCAGTATCGTAAATTTGTATATAATTTTTGAGCACATTTTTAATTAATACAGTTTGAATTTGGTTAATATGTAGACATCGAATATGATCAACGAACATTATCGCATTTACAAGGTTATTTGTATATACAAATTTTCCGCCATATTAAAATACTGAAATCTGCTAGGCGTTCTGAAGCAACTTTAGCTGTGACGTCACACTTAGGTTCCAGTCTCGTACTACATCCACGTTTTTTTTCTCGCGCTTGCTTCAGAACGACTGGGACTCATAGGCTGGCGGAGAACGAACTCAAACAAATGGAAGGTTTTACCAAGATAAGTGACAGATAGTAATTATCGACGTAGCGTGGTCAAATGGATTTTGGCATGTATTTGCTTACATGCAGTATATATGCGCAGCATTTAAATATCTAAATTTTGGGAGACATATAAAATGAATAAATCCCACGGGTAAGCCGTGTATTTACAATACCGTAGAATTTAGGGACTCGACAGATTAAAAAGTATTAGTGATTGACCGATATCGTGCAGATTGTTGCCTTATCAGAAGACAATCGGAAGCGGTAGAATTATCCAGGGTCCCCACCTTTTAGCGAAGATGAAATTCAAGGACTTTTCCGGGACTTTCAAGAACCTTTTTCAGTATATTCAAGGACCTGGCAACTAGAAAAATCTTTGAAAATCGTCTAACTTATACAAGTTATACATAATTTTAATTGAAATTGGGAAAATAAACATTTGGGCAATAATCCTTGGGCTGGTAATAATTCTTCAATTATTTCCAGCCTACTGAAAAAAAAATCCAGGACTTTCAAGGACCTTATCAGTTTCCAAGGACTTTCCAGGCCTGGATTTTTTTTAACAAATTCAAGGACTTTCCAGGATTTTCAAGGACCGTGGGGACCCTGCAGATTATCTGTATTTCCGTTTGTGTAACACTGATTGTTGAGAAAACACGCACTTTAAAAATTGATTTTTGAAGAGATTATAGATTGAAATTTCGAGTGGAAATTTCGTGTTGATACGATACACGTTTCGTGTTAAAGCCTGGCTTCTATATGGTCGTAAAAATAGAGTCACGATCTTTCTCAACGGCCAGTTTATAATACTTTTTATTATATACACAAGGTCTGGATATGAGGTATTCTGCAATCTGATTGGTTCTCTAGCTCATATCTGTCTCATATATTAGCTCATATCCTGCTAGTAGAGAAAAACAAAATGGCGGCCTAAGCTGAATTTCCGACGTTTTGCGAACGAGCGAACGAGAAAACGGCAAGTTGCTCGCTTTTTATAGCTTTTACAGGATTAAAACACAATGAAAAAACTCCCACAAATTGTTTACAGGTTAGCAAATGAATTTTTTACATTTAAAATGCTTAAAAATATATATTTTTGAAAAAATAATCGGCCGAAAGAGCGAAGATAAAAACATCAACAAAATAGAAAAATATTGAAAATATTGTCTGTGAAAATATTGTCTGTGAATTCAGACCTTGTGTATATAATAAAACAGTTATTCTACTCACTCTCGTCGAAAATGAGCGATAGCCGATTCGGCGCTACCCGCCTCATCAGCTATCGGCTCATATTCGACTCGAGTTCGTAGAATAACGTACTGTTAAATAACCTGTAAGCCCGATATAAATCATAAGTATTCTCTAGTTATAATCACTCCGCGCATTTTCAGTTCTAAAATGTTGTATTTCGACTAATGAGAAAGATTGTGACTCAATCTTTACGACTGTTACGACCATATGGAAACCAGGTTTAACGAACTTTGGTTGCAGTACTGTAACATGTTGGACTTTTCCAAATTTGCATCGGAATAAATTAGAATACAGGCGCAAATGTGCAGGCGCTTGCGGGTTGGCACAATAGCACGCGCAGGCCCATGGGAGTGCTCTTAACTAAGGGATGAGCGACTGCGGACGAGTCAGGTAACATGTCACGTTGGAAATCATCGTTAAAAAATCGAAACTAATGACGTCACCTTTACCCCGTTGACTGACGTTATGACTTCATTATAAAATCGGTATCGAGTGGATTGTTGCATGAATATTCGGTAATTTCCGATTGTGCCACAATCGGTCAATCACTAAAAAATGTTTACAGTATATACTTATTTAACGAAATTAATACTCTTCGAGATTCTTTTCACAACGAAAATTGTATTTGCTTTGTTGCTTGAAATAATCGACACGTTTTGCAGGTTCAAATACGTGTATGCGAATTAAGCAACATTTACAGTATCTTCTTTTAACGCTTTAAATTAATACAGGCCTTTTCAAGATGATTATAATTATGTAGTGCGTGCACCCGCCATTTTGGATATACTAATTGGCAGGCTATTCTTTACATCAATACATCTCCCCTAATTTCGTGAATTCGTATCATGTGCACTTTAAAAAGATTCGTTTTATCTCACCGTTTCACCTTGTTTTTCAACGAAAAGTTTTTGTTTGGCTTTCTCTATGGGATCTTTCGGTTGCAGTTGGTTCTCAGGATATAGTTCGTCCAGTAGATCTACAAAGAAAAATATAGTTTCAATCATGATTTACATTGAAAGAATCATGTCCAAAAGTACTTTGTTCCACTGCATTGGATTCCTAACTTAATCTCAATTCTTACTCATTGACCTGAACTATCGAAAGATGTTTAACCAAGAGAGCTTCACTTTTCGTCAAGTTTTGGTAAAAGTATACATATAAATATGGTTAAAAAGCAGTGGTGAAGCCAGCCCGACAATTGGTCATGCTATGCAAATTTCAAATCATTATCACTATTCATTTCTTTAGAAATTGATTGTTTTCATGGTGTATGAGCACGGAAATATTTGCATAGCATGACCAAATTGTCGGACTGGCTTCGCCACTGTTAAAAAGTATTAATTTATAGGTATGTACTCATCCACACCTGCTGTTAGAATATGCTTTCTACTTCAGCTAAAGCATGTATGCACAAAGCAGAGGTGACAAAATATTGGAACCTGGGAACGTATTTCCCACCGGAGGGACGTGCCCCCTCCCCCCAAGTTTCCAAAAGGGCCCTTTTTTTGGTGGCAAAGTGCCCTTCTGACAACGTTAACAATTTCGTTGAGATCGAAAAATTTGCTATTTTCGGAAAAAATTATCATATGACCGAACAAAATTTTCTTATTTTCGAAAAAAATTATGATATTTGCGGAAAAATTTTGTTATTTTCGGAAAAAATTATATGTTCCGAAAAAATTATGACATGTCCGAAAAATGTTTTGAGTATACCTTCCCTCCCCTCGTCGCCAACATTTCCGGGAAAAATTTTTTAGGTGCCCTCTTCTTTTGAAAAGTGCCCCTCGAAACCGCCCCCCCCCCCACACTTTTTTATGCTTCCTACGCCCCTGGACGCACAAACGACAATTTTGTTATTTTCCACCTATTTGTCGTAGTCTTTTGCAAAATATTTTGATCCAAATTCCCAGAAAGAAAAGAACATTTTCCACTTCTGGGAGCTGGCATAAAGTTTCAATTGCCTAAATTTCAAGTTGGTGATCTAAGATCCACTGGTTCTTTTGTGTGGGTTCTTTTGTCGGAAAATGTAGTTACCAAAAATCGCGCGAAAAATTGGCATGAGACGAGGTTGCGAAGCTACTGTATCCGCGTATATTGGAGGATTGCACAATTAGCCTTTTCCGAAAAGAGATCACAGTGCATTCTGGGATCGTTTGGAGGGGCAAAATATATAGTGACAGGCGTCAAATATGTGAAAGAGTAGAAGTATCTGCTATCAAATATCAACTTTTTAGACGACCAAAAATGAAATATCTCCTTTTTACATTAAAAATTTAATTTAAATGTGTGCTGCCATATGGGATTCGCGCGCTCCAACATGGGATTTGCGCGACTAGACCCAGGACTTTGGGAAATGGTAATTAATGTTCAATGTACAAGAGTTTTCCAGTTATGGTGTTTAGAGTGCTAGATTACATTAGTCTGCTAGATTACCATATGAAGTAACCTAAATGTATAAAACAGAACGTACAAAATCTGAACAACATCAGTTCAAACACAAGTGATATTGATTAAAATAATACGTGAATGAGTGAGTTAAGATATTTCTATTTTCTTGCAACATGAACATATTCACAATATCCTCATTCACTGGTCGGCAAAACTATCTGCCGTTGGGCTAGAGCGTTTGCACTCATTCCCCAGGGACCAACTCAACAAAAGCCATGGCGGCCATGTTGGTGTTCCAGACAATTTAAAAATTCTTTTGAATTGGAACACAAACATGGCGGATGTGACGTCATGTGCAAACGCTATATATAGTCATAAAACAACCTGATTAGTAAGAATGTTCGGTATACCGATATACCGAAAATATCGGTATTGAAACCAATGTCGGTATATTGCAAAATGCGTTTTTCTGTCATACCAACATACCAAAATTTCCAATATTTTCAGTGTACCGTATCAAATTTACACACCATGTATGTGGCGAAATCAATCAATTTTTGTTTTACTCAAATGCAAAGTAAAAGAAGTAGAAATCTCGTGTTAAACAATCTCAACAACTTCGAAATTATCATAAACCACCGGTATTTCGACTTTTGAAATTATTCAAAATCAAAATTTCCTTCAAATTTCCACCAGGCCTATCTAATTAAAAAGGCGAAAAACCAGTATACCGATAATATCAGTATAATTTTTCCTATACCGATGTCACAGGAAATTCGCCCCCCCCCCCCCTCTCAAAAGGTGGGCGATATTCCTAGGATATTCGCCCCCGGGGCGAATCTCCTAGGAATATCGCCCCCCTTTAGGAATTTCGCCCCCCCCCATATAAATTTTGAATTTTTGATCTAAAAACAAAACGACTGCAAGTTGAAAAGATTTATTGTGTGATTTATTTATTTATTACCAGGAGACAAAATTACATACACATTTCCTAAAGGGGGCGAAATTCCTAGGGCTTTCGCCCCCGGGGGGGGGGGGGGCAACGAAAAAATTGGGGACAATGGGAAAATTCTTATACCGTACAATTACTACTGAGTACTGATTAGATATTTAGTCTAGTTTTCAATGCACCGTATATGAGGAAACAAATTTCTCATTAATGAATTAACATGACAATGGCAGGGGTCCTGGGAGACATGCATTAATTAATGTCGTAAGAGTCGCAGTCGAAATTGGGATTCCCACTGTTATAAGGCGTGGTCATAAAAGCAGTATGTTGATGTTGAAAAGGAGTAAGTTGAATGATCTTTGTTTTTTACTGTACATTTCATATGCAAGGATTAGCTAAGGATAGAAAGGTGTCTGAATGTATATATTGCAAATAAGGCACTATTGCCACACACCCTATTATTAGCATGCACCTCTCTTCAGTGCACACATTAGGAAGTTTGACTGTTTATAGGGGTTGAACCGCTTGCTCCTATTGAGCCTTATCGGCTGCTAACATGATAATTATAGTAACATAGAATTAATTAATATTATCAATTTATCCAATTTATTGATTTTGTTAACAGTGAAGGCTGTGAAGCACAGTTAATGCCTAACAGCTGTATAAAGTGAAAATTTAAGTGCTGTTAAGTTAACTAAATTTTATGACAGTGTTTTCAAAGAAAATATCGCGCCCCCTCCAGCCTAAATTTGATGACAGTATTTTCAAAGAAAATATTTCCGCCCGGCCTAGGATCCAAGAAAGGCTAGAATTATTTCCAGGTCTGCTTATCGCTTTTAATGAAAGATCTGTCAGTAGTTCATTATTCCATCTACTGGGTACTAGTGATTCAAGTTGTTGTCTAGATGTAATGTATTGTGCTCATGTATGAAATCGACTGCAATGGGTCTGTACTGCATGAAGTTTATTATATTTTCAATGTAACATGGAGGAAGCGACTTATGTAGCCAGGGTGTTGACTTGTTTAACCGTCCATGCTTCACACACAAATATATAGGGTTAGGTTAGAGTAAAGGTTAATTTACTATATTCGTGCAATTAAGGCATGGTGTGGGAATCTTATGGGGGTCTGGGAGCATGCTACCCTGGAGATAATTTGAACTTCAAGGAACTCTAAAACAACATTTCCTGACATTCTGAGATGAGTTTTCTGAGAAAAAATCATAACCATGACAAACTAGGCCATTTCACCATTATAATTATAGACATTGTACTCTCAGATTTTAACTTTTAACCCAATTCAAAACTGTTCCATGGAGATCATTGGAACCAGGGGTGCTGCTAGAGAGGGGGTGTGGGGGTGGAACACCCCCAGCCGTCAGGTACTCAACAAATTATTTTATACCAGTTGGCAAATTGTTTTCCCAGTTTGCAAAACATGATATGAATTGGATAGGAAGGAAAAAAAATATAATATTTGAGTGAAACTTCAGACTAAATTGCTAATTACCGCTATTAGACTTGTAGAAATTTAGGGAAACATTGCAGAAACTGAGCGAACGGTACGTGAACACAAAATGGAAGGAATATTAAGTTCAGAACATTTTTTGATCTACCAGGGGGTCAGCATTTGGATAAATATTAATTACTAGGGAAAAAAGTTTGTGAATGTATACATCAGGGAAAATGACTCAGCAAACTTTTACCCCCCCCTCCCCCCTTCAAAATAGGGTTAGCACCACCGCTGATTGGAACCAAGACTACCCTCCGCCCCATCTCGCTGAGCCTATTTATATACCACTGCATATAGCTACATACCTGCAACAATCAGGGATTCATTAATAGCTCGGCCATCAGGAAATTCAATGGCAGGAACTGCTCGTGCTGGATTGATTGCAGTATACCATTCAGGTAGATCATCGCGTAATTTGATATTCACAATGTCATAATCTTTAAGTCCTTTGGCTGTTGCTACCAGTCTTGCTCGCTGTAATCAACATTCATATAAATTTAAAGAGAATGTTTGTATGGATGCCAGGATTAATTCTATAGTTTAACATGAACAACTCATCACACACAGTCACACAGCTTACATAGCCAGTCCCAAACGAGTGGGGAAGGGGGATCTAATCATGACCAAATATACAGAACAATTACTAGTTAGTAGAAGGGTCTAGGCGCATATAGCCCCTGGGAAAATTTTTGTATATTTCTATGTTTTCACATAGTATAAGTATAATATTCATGCTTATGAAGATTCTACGACTATTGATTTGAGGGCAAATTTTCCCAATATTACCCCACCCCTGCCACCGTCTCCTGGAAGAATTGCAAGATTGGTCCCAAAGAGAAGTGAGTTTTCAACCCCTCCCCCCACCCCACGGGCTATACCACCTGATTTTAGGATCAATCAACTAATTAGGAAATTGATTATTCGTTGCTGTTGATTATTCGATTATTTTTGCAATTGATTATTCCGAACAACAGTAGAGTCATACTGGCAAGGTAAAAAATTCACTATTAATATTAATTGACTGTTCATGATGATGATTACCTGTATCAATCACTTACATAAATGAATCTATAGTCTATAGGAGCAACTCTAAGATACTCAAAGCAGGGTTATCCTCATAAACAGTTTAGACTAATAGTGTATATAGTCTCCAGGTCTATTGTATTTATAGCATGTTCCTGGGGTGACTCTAGTAGGGGTACAGCGACCTCAAGAAGGCTGAAACAATAGCGCAAATTCCTTAATGGAAAATGGCAACCTTTTAAAACAATTTAAAGAAACTATACGACATTTTAAATATACTATCTACTTGAAAATTAATTAAACAAATTTCTTACCTGTGCGAAGGGGCAAAATTTCATGCTATAGATACGAAATTTCTTCGTCTTATCGAAAGCAGGTTTTGGATCTCCAGTTTGTAAGTGTTTGCTCGACATTTTGAGAGATATACCAATGATTTTCCACAAATTTATTGTGCCAAGTGTTGTGTCACAATTTACTCCAAATCACTCGGGTACTATTTACATTGCGGCGCCAGTAACGTAATTCCAATGCTATTAATACACAACTCAAATGGCGCCAAGAAATATTGTCGAGTCACAATTTCCGACGTCCGAGAGTATTTTAAGACTTTTAAATAAATTAAGTGTGGTCAGCAAAAAATCGGCCTGACAGCACCAGAGACTTTCGTTGTCCAAACGGGGTAGGGGCGCCTATCAGAGAGGGCCGTTAATTATTAATACGAACAGTGGCAAAATATCAGAGGCAAAATATCATTGATGCAAAAATAAAAATATAAAATATCCACAGTAGCACAGAATAAGAAGGTAAGCAGAAGCGTAACTCTAGTCGTTTCCCTTATTGTTTTACGTCCACGAAAATTTTAACTCGCTCACGCCAATCCACGCCATCCTGGCTAGTACAGCCACAGAATAGGAAGTTATACCAGAAGCGTAACTCGAGCAAATATTTGTCCACGTTTTTACAAGCGATTCGTCATCAATCACGCCATCCTGGCTAGTACAACCGGCACTTGTACCTACCAAATCCTGATAAAAACTTCCGGCTGTACTAGCCAGGATGGCGTGGCCTGACGTGAGCGAGTTAAAATTTTCGTGGACGTCAAACAATAAGGGAAACGACTAGAGTTACGCTTCTGGTATAACTTCCTATTCTGTGGTACAGCCGGAAGTTTTTATCAGGTTATTACGGTGGCCCAGAAGTGCAAAACACAAAACAAACAAAGCAAAACAAAAATTACGTTTCTTTATCATTTTTACACTATTTTGATACATTTTTACCCAAAACATGAAACACAATTAACCATTTTACCAGACAATTTTCTCTTTTGCGACACATTTGGAAAACACAAAACACATTTGGAAATCACAAAACACATTTGGAAATCACAAAACACATTTGGAATCACAAAACACATTTGCAAATCACAAAACACATTTGCAAATCACAAAACACATTTGCAAATCACAAAACACATTTGCAAATCACAAAACACATTTAGAAATGGCATGGTAGAAAACCCGGGTAGCGGATAACCGGATAACCGGATAACCGGATAACCGGATAACCGAACCGGATAATCGGATAACCGGATAACCGGATAACCGGATAATCGGATAACCGGATAACCGGATAACCGGATAACCGGATAATCGGATAACCGGATAACCGGATAACCAAATAGTATATAGAGATTTTTTCATGGGAAATACTTACGTGTGGTATTTACGCACGCGTTATAATCTGTTTTCGCAAATTAAACGAGCGAGTGCAAAATTTGTTCTTCATAGACGATACAGAGTTTATTTATATTATACAGCGAAAAATATAAAGGTTTATATGTTTCATAAAGCGAGACAATCAGATAAACAAAGTTGTGTCGTACAAAAATACATCGGAAAATACAAATTTTTCAGTATTAATGAACAGGAAAGGAAATATCAATTTATTATTATTATTTACAAATATTTTAAAACGGTAGCTCTTCAGAACACCTATGATCCGTTTTTCAAGAGGCCGTTTAAACTAATATTTACAAAGTTTAATAAAATATAATATAATATAAATTATCACACAGTTAAAGTCTAAGAGAATATATACAAAATATTGTGTCCCATCGTCATTTCTTTTGCCTTAATCTCATTTGGCAAATTATTCCAGCATTTTGCCCCTGAGTAGCTAATACTTTTTTTGAGGAAATTAGTCTTAGGTTTATCCAGTTGAAAATTAATTCCGTTATTTCTAAGGTCACATTTTTCATTATTAGAGAATCTAAACAAATTAGCCATATTTGCCGGTACCTCCTGATTTTTAACATTAAACATGAATGTGAATCTCCCGCTCTCCCTTCTTTCCTCAAGTGTTTGCCAATTAAGCTCTTTTAGCAATTCACTTGTTCGTATTTCATATGATTTGCCAGTAATTATTCTTGCCGCTCTATTTTGCATTTTTTTGCATCTTGTCGTGCAAGTAATTGCTGCAATTTTCCCAAACTAGACTGCAATAATCAATAAAAAGGAAATATCAATAAATAATGCACACTAAAAATTCTTAATTTGTTAAAAATTCGGAAAAAAAAATACCGGGGTGTGTGAAAATATTGCTGCAATCATTATTGCGTAAAACGTGCCTTTCTGACCGATAGCTACTAATAACGAACAGAAATCCTCGGCAGAAATCAGTCTCAAAGTAATAAATATTTGCCCGAAAAATAGAAATCAAACCTAGAATTGTTATTGTTGAGAATATTAAATGCCCATCTCTGTTTATTGTTGAAAACATGACAATCAAAATATTAAAGTAACAAACAGTTAATTGGCTTCCTCGTTTTTACCGACTTAGCTACTCTTGAAGTGCAAAGGATAATTTTCAATTCCCGTTAGAAGTTGGTATTTTTAATAGCATCACTTTAATACAGACAGTTCTTTAATATTGATCCTTTCTCACACGAAATATTTTATAAAAAACCTTTTGATTCAGTACAAACATGTCAGCAGAAGATCAACTTGTTGTTTATAAATATAAAACTGGCGCATCCTAAATGAGAATAATTTGTAGTGTATGCAATCTTTCGTGCTATAGCCTATACTGTGTCAGTACCTCCATAATGATATATATAGGAGTCAGGACATATAGCCAGTACCGCGTCGTCGTGTGCGACCTTCTTATATGTAGGCTAGTATGCTCGGTATGCTATGCCATATTATAGACGGCCAACAATATTGAATCTCAGAGCAAGCGAAAACTCGAGCGAAAACGCGGATAGAATCGTAGGATTTTTACTCGTACTAAAATTCCCTCACTGAGTGTCAGTTTAATTTACAGTTTAAACATGAACGAATAGACACACATGCATGCGTTGAAACATCATTTATATATACCAACTTTATAATACATGCATGGTCTATAACTCTAACTTGTTTGTATTTTTGTCATTTTAATTGAGTGAAAGGTTTATATTATCACGCGCTATAAAAGCTTTTTACCAGGTTTTTTATAAAATATTTCGTGTGAGAAAGGATCAATATTAAAGAACTGTCTGTATTAAAGTGATGCTATTAAAAATACCAACTTCTAACGGGAATTGAAAATTATCCTTTGCACTTCAAGAGTAGCTAAGTCGGTAAAAACAAGGAAGCCAATTAACTGTTTGTTACTTTAATATTTTGATTGTCATGTTTTCAACAATAAACACTAATAAACAGAGATGGGCATTTAATATTCTCAACAATAACAATTCTAGGTTTGATTTCTATTTTTCGGGCAAATATTTATTACTTTGAGACTGATTTCTGCCGAGGATTTCTGTTCGTTATTAGTAGCTATCGGTCAGAAAGGCACGTTTTACGCAATAATGATTGCAGCAATATTTTCACACACCCCGGTATTTTTTTTTCCGAATTTTTAACAAATTAAGAATTTTTAGTGTGCATTATTTATTGATATTTCCTTTTTATTGATTATTGCAGTCTAGTTTGGGAAAATTGCAGCAATTACTTGCACGACAAGATGCAAAAAAATGCAAAATAGAGCGGCAAGAATAATTACTGGCAAATCATATGAAATACGAACAAGTGAATTGCTAAAAGAGCTTAATTGGCAAACACTTGAGGAAAGAAGGGAGAGCGGGAGATTCACATTCATGTTTAATGTTAAAAATCAGGAGGTA